TGATACTTGATTTGAAGACTCCTTCCCTCTCAGTTGGTAATTTGAACTACTACATCCATAAGTATAGGTCAAGTTCATCAAATTGTAGCAATTTTCACTCATTTCCTTTATCAATTTTGTTTCTTAAATCTTCCTCTAGTTGAGTTCTGATTATTAAGCCATGGAGGCTAGGTCAAATGGGTACTATCTTCAAGTCTGGATATTCTGTGTATCTCCTCTCACTTCATAGCTGCTGGATGCTTCACTCTCAGCTCTAGTCCTCTGTGGCTATGTCATTGTCCATGCAAGTTTCTACTTTTTAAAAATTAAAAGCAACAACAACAACAACAGCATAGGGCCCATACTATGTGCCAGGCACTGTCTAATGGGCTTTATAAATGTTCATTTCTTTAGCCCTTATAACACCTCTCTGAAATAGGTGCTATTAGTGTTTCCATCTTGCAGATGAGGAAACTGAAATACGAAGGTTTTGACTTTTTCAGTCATAAACTAGCAGGTTTTAGGGTTTTCTGCCCTCACCAAGGGCCTTGTTATTACTTTTTTTAAAATATTAGACTTTGCTGTAAGAAATAATATTATAACTCAACAAAAATAGCTCTACACATTCTGGGCACTGTGCAAGAAAGAGCAGTACCAGCTGGGCCCTGAAGAACCATTTGGCATTCCTCAAATAGAACTCTGTGGGCTGCTCCCCCTCAAAGCCCTTTGTGCCTCAGTAGCAAGTAGCTGAATATGGCAACCTTGGTGACCAATGAAAAGGTCAAATTCACACCTTTCTGAGTAGGAAAAAAGAGGCCCTTGCCAATGGTGTGATGAGGAATCTTGGAACCATTCCAACCTTGTGGGCTCCCAGTAAGACTTTTTGAAAATCCATCCCAGATGGAAAGTCACGCTCTTCTCAGGGAAATATCAATTATAGAATCTTTTTTTTTTTTTTTTTGCCTGATGCAAAGAATGAAAACAGAACAAAGGCACATGTTCATGTGAAAGCATCAGTGGCAGTTAAATAAGTGAGCATGATGCTAGGACACTGATCACAGAGTCCCACTTCTTGGTTCTAGCCCTAGGGCCTGAGCTCTACTTTTCAAACAAAGGCACCGTCTTGAAAATGTTATTGATCATCATAGGTGAAATTACGGTTGCAAATTCATCTTAAGACGCCTTACTTGCAAAAACAAAACCCACTCAAGTTACACACACACACACAAGAAAAGGGAAGGTTTATTTACTGATAAGATATGCTGCTATTGTTAG